GAAGAATAAGGCTTAACATATTTCAGTTAGAAGTGATAGCTAAAATTAGAGCCTTTTGTTATACCAATATTAAAGAGGAATTATCATTTTATGGTAAAGAATTGTCTGAATTTGATTTGAGAGATAGTGTAAATAGTTCAACCGTTAATACAAGCCAATTAGAATTTACCGAACAGCAATTTGATAATGAATTATCTGATTCGTTCAATCCTATTTTCGAATCCAACCATATACAACTAGATGAAATAAATGACGATGATTTGTTAATTGAAAAAATTATTGATCTTTCAAACCCGGCTTTTATCGGTAATAATAATTTATTTATTGAAGAACAAAGCAAGGTCTCAAATAATATGGCTCGATGGTCGGCTTCAAGAAACCATGATTATAATCCAGCAAGATTAGTAGCACAAATATTTAATGAGAAAGAATAATTCTTTAATAGACTTTGTATATGTTTTTATTGTATGTACTGTACAATGCAAATAAAAATGTAATATGTACGTATAAATTATACATAGCATATCACAAATATAGCATATTATGAGTTACGCATATAAAATCGTGTTGCGCTGCATAAAATAGTTACGGTATGATCATAATCATACGGTATATACAAATCTTGTGACATGCCGTAACTTAAAACAAAATGCTACAGCAAGTTATAACTTAGTTACAATGCAGCTTATCCCAATGCTTTGAGATTCTACGGCATCCCTAGTGCGGACCTGTGGGACCGTTAAGTTGCATTATATAATGCAACATAATAAATACTTTATTTTTCTCGAGAGTTTTTTGAAATAGTTTAACAACCGCTACGTGTTGGCAGATATATGTATTGTAAATTCTAGATAACTGCAGTTAAGCAACTTGTTGAAGTACTGTTCAAAATAACAGATCAGCGAAATATCAAATTATCTTTGTTAATTATGTGAATCGAATAAATTAAGATTAAAAGTAAATATCAATATGTGAAGTCGAATCGCTGTACGTGATTGTATTAAAATAGTACACATATACGTTTACAGATATTTTCTTTAAAACCACCTATTCATCCATAATTTAAAAAATCGATGTAAATCGGTTGTTGACCGAACATCTAAAATTCGTCAGCCATATAAAATGTACAAATATTTATAAAAACAGCCCCTTGAAAACATTCATACTATCGTCTAAAAAGAGATATAACAAGCCACGTAACAATAATCAACTTGAACATTCCTTGAGCGCTACGTGCATGAGATTCAAATAAATACATATATAAAAAATCTTTTTTCTGAAGTTTTCAAATTCATCCTTTTTTTTGTTTGGTCCACAAAAAATACACGATCTATATATACTGTTATTGAGGGCGCGATCGTTATTCTTTTACATAGGCGTATGCAAGAAGAGGAAGATCCAACAGACTTCTCGGGTTTTAAACTACCAGGCTACACTATATGAATGATATGAATATATCCACCTCACTCTTTTGTTCTTATACAAGTACTGCTTTGAGGGCGTGATCGTCAAATTACTATTATCTTTTAGTGAAGAGAGGAAGATCACAGGCTTCCCTCGGTTTAGACTACTAAGCTATTGGATGAGAAATAATTTGAATATATCTATCTTGCTTTTTATTTATTATACTTCTTCCTGGGATAGTCATGCAAAAAATTTCATCTTTATTAAGCGATAGGACCTCTGACTTAATATATTTAATCGATATTCATTCATTA